AGCCACAAGCGGTCTGATTATGTCAGTATTTCTGTGCTCAAAGCGGTACATTGTTTTCAATGGAAATGTTGTTTTTTTATTGTAGACCTGTAATTCGTAGGAATAACTCACTGAAATCTGTCCCACCAAGTAAACATCCTGGGTATGCTCAAATTTGAAACACAAAATCATAAATTATAATATAATAAATAATCATAAAAAATAATAATATAATAATAATAAATTTAATTTAATAATATAATCAAACCAAAAACACTGAAATTTGAAATAGAGCGCCAAGTTCGTACAACACTGAGCCTTATCACTCAATTCTGCAAGTGGTTCTAATTTATTATCGTTGTTCTCTAGCTGGTCTAAAACCGATTTTGACCTAAAGGGACACTTTTTGGACGCCATGGACGTTTCTCAGTTTCCAGGCAGAAAGAACAGTAAAAATGCAAGCAGGGCACAGGAAAAAGCACTAGGGACAAATATATGTGAAATGGTTTGATACAGTAATGTAATACTATCAGATTTTAGTGTATTGAGTGAATTAAAAATTTTTACATTTTTAAAATTCCCGCCGGTTTCATCCCCCTTACGTCCCGACGCTCGCAGGGAACTGAACCTGGAAGACAGATGCCGGTATCAGCTGGAGGACATGGCAGGGACATTGCAGGGGGGACATCACGGGAGCGCAGGACAAGGTAAGTGCTGGAGGGATCCCAGAGCAATCCTGCAGTGTAAACCCGAGTGTAGCTCGGGGTTACCGCTTCTGGTACTGAAAGTTAAACCCCGAGCTACACTCGGGAATACCACCAGGGGGGTTAATAAATTTGCCTTCTCTTTGTCCCCAGTCACCCACTCTAGATTATTTTGTAAAGGGCCTACATGCTCGGACCGGACCTTTTTTCTATTAATATATTTGAAGAATATTTTGGGGTTTGTCCTGCTTTCTTTTGCAATCTTTCGTTTGTTTTCAATTTTTGCAGCCCTGATTTCCTTTTTACATATTTTGTTATATTCTTTGTAATGTTTAAATGATGATAGCGTTCCTTCATTTTTATATTTTATATAAGCTCTTTTCTTATTATTTATAGCTTTTTTAACTTTGGCCCTAAGCCACATAGAGTTCATTTTTAGCCTCTTAAACATATTGCCCATGGGAATATATTTTGCAGTGTGTACACATACAGTCCTTTTAAAGAACTCCCATTTCTGTGTTGTGTTCATCAATTCCAATATTCCCTCCCAGTCTTGGAGTGTAGCTTTCAGCCTTGGCAAATTAGCTCTCTTAAAGTTGAGTGTTTTTCGTGTATGTGCTTGTTGTTTACAGCTAACAATAAATTAAATCATGGTATGGTCACTGCTACCCATAAGTTCTTTTATATGGACATTAGTAATAAGCTCTGCATGGTTTGAGATTACCAGGTCCAGCAGAGCATCATTCCTAGTTGGGGTCTGTATGAACTGTTCCACAAAGTTGCAGTAGGTTTATACATGTTTGCCAGATTGTTTTGTGGTCATACACACTTCTGGTTTTTATCCTGGATGTTGCTTTTGCAAACAATCAGACATGTCTGCATAACTTGTTCCCTGTGCCCCTGTAAGTGTGCCCTCCCTGTGCCCCTATAAGTGTGGTACAACCTAGCTGTTGCTCATAGCCACAGGCAAGGCTTCTGGGACACTCTACCTGTTGCACCTTGCTGCAGCCACTGCTCAGCCTACTCTCCAACTGTCACTCCTGACATGTTTTCAATCTCTCTGCTCCTCTGAGCCCACTGCGCTGACCAAACCCACTGTCAGGGCTCCCAGGTGTGACCAGAGATGTGTGACTGACGCAGGGAAACGCAGACCTCAGATATGTTATAAATAATATAATTTATTAACACTAACAATACAAACATAAATGCAGTGCAATACTAAAACATAATACAGTGCAAACAAACCAAACCAAACCACCCACAGATAACAGTACATACAAGCAAGCGTCGTCAGGCAGGCCGGGTCAATATCAATAGGGCAGGTAGGTACAGGGGGAGCAAGCGGAGATTGGTCAGGGTCACAAGCCAGGGATCAGAACAGGTAGCAAGCAGCGTGGTACAGAGGGTCAGACAGAGGGATGGTCAGGAGCGAGCCGGGATCAGAGCAGGAGAAGTCAGCAGCGGTTCAGAAACAGGATGCAGGACAGAAACAGGATGCAGGACAGAAACAGGATGCAGGGCCCAGGACAAACACACACCAAGGCAGAGTCTGTGGGTCTGGCCATCCCTTAAATACCCCAGCATAATCAGTTACAGGTGTTAGCTGGCTACAAAGTTGAGTCTCTGATTGCTGGGAACACCCGCTGGCCAGCCCTGGTACTGCAGATCAAAAGGCAGGTGAGTCCCACCATAGCTGGCCAGTCCATTCCTGACAGTACCCCCCCCTCAAGGAGCGGCCTCAGGACGCTCCAAACAGTCCTAGCTGGGAAAAATGTTCCACCGCCGGGTCTGGTAACTGGCGGGATATCAAAGACTGGCACACCGGGCAGGACTCCGGGCAGCGGTACACCGGGCAGAGGCACATCGGGCTGGACTCCGGGCAGAGGCACATCGGGCTGGACTCCGGGCAGAGGCACATCGGGCTGGACTCCGGGCAGAGGCACATCGGGCTGGACTCCGGGCAGAGGCACATCGGGCTGGACTCCGGGCAGAGGCACATCGGGCAGAGGGGACTCCGGGCAGAGGCACACCGGGCTGGACTCCGGGCAGAGGCACATCGGGCTGGCACACGGGCAGAGGCACACCGGGCAGAGGCACACCGGGCTGGATCGGGCAGAGGCACATCGGGCTGGACTCCGGGCAGAGGCACATCGGGCAGAGGACATCGGGCAGAGGCACATCGGGCAGGACTCCGGGCAGAGGCACATCGGGCAGGACTCCGGGCAGAGGCACATCGGGCAGGACCCCGGGCAGAGGCACATCGGGCAGGACCCCGGGCAGAGGCACATCGGGCAGGACCCGGGCAGAGGCACATCGGGCAGGACCCCGGGCAGAGGCACATCGGGCTACCAGGGAGCACAGGCACCGGGCCCCGGGCGGGGGCGACAGGCACCGGGCCCCCGGGCGGGGCGACAGGCACCGGGCCCCCGGGCGGGGGCGACAGGCACCGGGCCCCCGGGCGGGGGGGGTGACAGGCCTCGGGCCCCCGGGCGGAGCGGCGGGCGCCGGACCCCCAGGCGGAACTACAGGTCTCGGGCCCGCAGGCGGAGCGGCGGGCGCCGGACCCCCAGAAGGAGCGACAGGTCTCGGGCCCTCAGGCGGAGAGCAACAGGTCTCGGGCCCCCAGACGAAGCGGCGGGCACCGAGTCACCAGGCACGACAGTGGGCACCGAGTCGTCTGGCAAGACTGCGGGCACCGAGTCAACTGGCGGAACAGCGGGCATCGAGTCAACTGGCGGAACAGCGGGCACCGAGTCGTCTGGCAAGACTGCGGGCACCGAGTCGTCTGGCAAGACTGCGGGCATCGAGTCAACTGGCGGAACAGGGGCACCGAGTCGTCTGGAAAGACTGCGGGCACCGAGTCGTCTGGCAAGACTGCGGGCACCGAGTCGTCTGGCAAGACTGCGGGCACCGAGTCGCCTGGCAAGACTGCGGGCACCGAGTCGTCTGGCAAGACTGCGGGCACCGAGTCGACTGGCGGAACAGCGGGCACCGAGTCGTCTGGCAAGACTGCGGGCACCGAGTCGTCTGGAAAGACTGCGGGCACCGAGTCGTCTGGCGGACTGCGGGCACCGAGTCGTCTGGCAAGAACTGCGGGCACCGAGTCGTCTGGCAAGACTGCGGGCACCGAGTCGTCTGGCAAGACTGCGGGCACCGAGTCGTCTGGCGGAACAGCGGGCACCGAGTCGTCAACTGGCAAGACTGCGGGGCACCGAGTCCACTGGCGGACTGCGGGCACCGAGTCGTCTGGCAAGACTGCGGGCACCGAGTCGTCTGGCAAGACTGCGGGCACCGAGTCGTCTGGCAAGACTGCGGGCACCGAGTCGTGGCGGCAAGACTGCGGGCACCGAGTCAACTGGCGGAACAGCGGGCATCGAGTCGTCTGGCAAGACTGCGGGAAACGAGTCGTCTGGCAAGACTGCGGGCACCGAGTCGTCTGGCAAGACTGCGGGCACCGAGTCGTCTGGCAAGACTGCGGGCACCGAGTCGTCTGGCAAGACTGCGGGCACCGAGTCGTCTGGCAAGACTGCGGGCACCGAGTCAACTGGCGGAACAGCGGGCATCGAGTCAACTGGCGGAGCAGGACAGCGGGCAAGACTGCGGGCACCGAGTCGTCTGGCAAGACTGCGGGCACCGAGTCGTCTGGCAAGACTGCGGGCACCGAGTCCGAGACTGCGGGCACCGAGTCTGGCAAGACTGCGGGCACCGAGTCGTCTGGCAAGACTGCGGGCACCGAGTCGTCTGGCAAGACTGCGGGCACCGAGTCAACTGGCGGGAATAGCGGGCATCGAGTCAACTGGCAAGACTGCGGGCACCGAGTCGTCTGGCAAGACTGCGGGCACCGAGTCCACTGGCGGAACAGCGGGCATCGAGTCAACTGGCGGAACAGCAGGCACCGAGTCGTCTGGCAAGACTGCGGGCACCGAGTCGTCTGGCAAGACTGCGGGCACCGAGTCGTCTGGCAAGACTGCGGGCACCGAGTCGTCTGGCAAGACTGCGGGCACCGAGTCGTCTGGCAAGACTGCGGGCACCGAGTCGTCTGGCAAGACTGCGGGCACCGAGTCAACTGGCGGACAGCGGGCATCGAGTCAACTGGCGGAACAGCGGGCACCGAGTCGTCTGGCGGAGACTGCGGGCACCGAGTCGTCTGGCAAGACTGCGGGCACCGAGTCGTCTGGCAAGACTGCGGGCACCGAGTCGTCTGGCAAGACTGCGGGCACCGAGTCGTCTGGCAAGACTGCGGGCACCGAGTCGTCTGGCAAGAGAGCGGGCACCGAGTCAACTGGCGGAACAGCGGGCATCGAGTCGTCTGGCAAGACTGCGGGCACCGAGTCGTCTGGCAAGACTGCGGGCACCGAGTCGTCTGGCAAGACTGCGGGCACCGAGTCGACTGGCAAGACTGCGGGCACCGAGTCGACTGGCAAGACTGTGGGCACCGAGTCGACTGGCGGAACAGCGGGCACCGAGTCGACTGGCAAGACAGTGGGCTCCGAGTCAACAGGCACGACAGTGGGCACCGGGTCATCAGGTATCGGATTGTCTGGCTCGACAGCGGGCATCGGGTCACCAGGTATGACAGCGGGCACTGGGTCACCAGGCATCAGGTCATTTGGCTTGCCAGCGGGCACCGCGTCATCTGGCAAGGCAGTGGGCACCGGGTCACCAGGTATGACAGCGGGCTCTGAGTCAATTGGCACGACAGCGGGCACTGGATCAGGTACCGGATCATCTGGATCAACAGCGGGCATCGAGTCAACTAATAGGATCGTCGGGCTGGATCAGTTCATCATGCTGAGTAGTAGGCTGAATGCAGGCATCAGGCTGAGTAGAGGCTTCAGGCTGAGGAGAGGCTTCAGGCTCAGAGAGGCATCAGGCTGAGGAGAGGAGGTGAGGAGAGGCATCAGGCTGAGGAGAGGCTTCAGGAGGCTTCAGGCTGAGCTGAGAGGCTTCAGGCTGAGAGGCTTCAGGCTGAGGAGAGGCTTCAGGCTGAGGAGAGGCTTCAGGCTGAGGAGAGGCATCAGGCTGAGGAGAGGCTTCAGGCTGAGGAGAGGCTTCAGGCTGAGGAGAGGCTTCAGGCTGAGGAGAGGCATCCGGCTGAAGGCTGAGAGAGGCTTCAGGCTGAGTAGAGGCTTCAGGCTGAGTCACGGAAGGCAGGTTCACCGGTTTGGATACTGGCAGGATGGTATTGGTTGGAAAGAATTTTCGCTTTTTTCTGGTTTTAACTACTGGAGCACTGCAAGTAAACGCAGGTCTGCAAACGAATGGAGCAGCTGGAGACAGAGAAAAACTGGAGGATGGAACAGGAGAGGGAGCAGTTGCTACAGAGGGCTTTTTTACAGGGTTAAAGGCAGGATAGGTGCAGCGAGTGGGAACAGGGTACTGACATGCGGTAGATAGCCAAGTATACTGGGCTGTAACTGGAGGAGCTGGTGGGAATACAGGAGTAGAGTTAGAAGCAGGACTGGGTCTTTGTAAGCTGACTGAGGCTGGGTGCAACAAGTCTGTCCATGTCTGCAGTAGGGGTTGAACAAAGCTGAGCTTACACAAAGCCTGTCTGGTCAATGACTGCACTGCGTTTATACAATCTCTCTAGTGTCTGTGGTGAACATGTGGAATAACGCTCCAGAAAGTAACCCACATCATCCTCTAATAACCACACCAGGGACTCAACCTGGTCTGCACTAAATGGTGGCAAAAATTCATCCCTGCATTCGGGGAAGGGAACCAGATGAAACCAACTCAACACAAACCTGAATCAATGGCTGCACCATAGAGAAATCTGTGCCCTGATCTACTAGAACATGAGCGAGCCGTATACATTCTAGCAGTTCATCCCGGGGATACTCCTTCAGAGTCTGATAAGCATACTCTCTGTCATCAAGCACTAGCAGAGATAAATACTCAACCTCATCCAGATCCATCCTTCCCATCAACAAGCCAAGATGGCTTCCCTGTGCAGCCACTTCTGGTCAGGATGGGCCTTGGTGTAATGTCAGGGCTAACAGGTGTGACCAGAGATGTGTGACTGACGCAGGGAAACGCAGACCTCAGATATGTTATAAATAATATAATTTATTAACACTAACAATACAAACATAAACGCAGTGCAATACTAAAACATAATACAGTGCAAACAAACCAAACCAAACCACCCACAGATAACAGTACATACAAGCAAGCGTCGTCAGGCAGGCCGGGTCAATATCAATAGGGCAGGTAGGTACAGGGGGAGCAAGCGGAGATTGGTCAGGGTCACAAGCCAGGGATCAGAACAGGTAGCAAGCAGCGTGGTACAGAGGGTCAGACAGAGGGATGGTCAGGAGCGAGCCGGGATCAGAGCAGGAGAAGTCAGCAGCGGTTCAGAAACAGGATGCAGGACAGAAACAGGATGCAGGACAGAAACAGGATGCAGGGCCCAGGACAAACACACACCAAGGCAGAGTCTGTGGGTCTGGCCATCCCTTAAATACCCCAGCATAATCAGTTACAGGTGTTAGCTGGCTACAAAGTTGAGTCTCTGATTGCTGGGAACACCCGCTGGCCAGCCCTGGTACTGCAGATCAAAAGGCAGGTGAGTCCCACCATAGCTGGCCAGTCCATTCCTGACACCCACTGCACTAGATATGCTTCTCCTGTGAAAAGGTATTGATTCTGGTAGGCTCTCATGTACACACAGTATATACTCACCAATCATATTGAGTTAGGAGTCTATGCTTCTCCCTCTGACATATTTTCACTTTAAGTTTAATCATAGACCAGTAGACATACCTGAATTCACACAAATCTATGATTGAACATACAGATTCACTGTATTGCTTCTGGTGTGGGAATTTCCTATTTGTCATTTGGCAATTGATTGCATTCAAGAGAATTGATTTACTAAAGCCTAATAGGATAAGCCTAAGAGAATTTACCCCAGAGCTTAGCAAATGAGGTGAAGCTCTGCTAACTTCATCCAATTATGTTATTTTCCTTGCATGGATGCTGGATAAGGGCCTGGTATTTTTAAGGGAGACTCCATGCAAAAAAACAAAGAATAGTATGAAGTCCAAAAAAAAGCCATAAAAAAAATCTATATCCTAAGGAAGGTACCCTTAAAACAAAAATTAGGGTCGGCCACCTCCAAAATCCATAGCAGTCTCTTATTCAAACATGCAGCCTGGCTGGCCAGGGAGGCAAGCATCCGCTTCCCTCTTTAACCATACCAGGTCTTATGCCCTCAGCAAGACCTTGTTGATGGAGACAAGGGCCTCAGCCCTACATCCCTGGCCCGGTGAATGTGGGGGTCTTTGGGGGGACTTATTGGAATCTGAAGGCCTCCTTTTAGGATAATTTACCTAGATATTTACCCCTCAGTGAATGAGCTGGGGGAAGAATGGACCCTCCAGTGAATGTGCTGCTCATTCACAAAAAAATGAAAAAATAGATAAACGCATACTGTACAAAAAATATGTTATTGAAAAGAGAGAAAACCTGTCACAATGTAAATCCATGAATGATGCCCTCACAAACACAATCTTCTCCCACTGGACATACACCACAAAGAAAGTTCCCAGTCCAGCAGCTTATTGTCAAAAAACTGGCTTATTTAGATCATGATGCCATAAGCTTGTTTATAATTTAAAACAAGCTATCAGACAGGCAGCTGGAAGCTTTATTTTGTAGTAATAGTAATACTACACTAAATTCATAACTTCCTGCTGAAGCGGCCGATGGTTTTGGCAGGTGAGCTGTCCAAATCTGTCCATTAATCCTATTCTGCAAACTATGAACAGCTTGAATACGGATATTTAGAAAATGTGCAGATTTGAAAAAAACTAAAAATTGTGAACAGCACGTGAAATCGTGAAACACTCTGTGTACACTCTTATATACACATATATGAACACTCTGTGTACACTCTTATATACACATATATGAACACTCTGTGTACACTCCTATATACACATTTGTGAACACTCTGTGAACACTTCTAGGTGACTGAATTGCATACAATTACCCTAAATTAGGTATAAAAAAGCCTTTAAAGTAATCCCATGGACTTTCACTCCAGTATAGGTATGACTTCCAGGATTGGATTCCAGGCTTCAATCAGATTTCAAGTTCTCCCTTCATTCAACTTATCTCCTTATATCCCCCATTGCCAATCATAGGTAGAAAAAAAGGGGCCCACATAGTGTAGTATATTCATATTAAAAGAACCAGAACATTTAATATATATGCTTACACTTAAATAATCATCAAATTGCAAAAATTCCCATGTCCCAGCCACGAGCAGCTTCCTGGAACACCGAAGTGCCGAATATCCTCAACAAAGATGGCCGCTCCGCCACTTCCTGTTCCTGTGCAACGCACAACGTCACGTCTCTTTTACGCGTTTTGTCACTTCCGGACTTCCTCATAAGAGGAAGGTGACACCAGCAGGTCCAGCAAAACATTGTTTCTAGTTGGGACTTCTATAAATGGTACCATAAAGTTGTCCTGTAATAATTTTATAAGTTTTGACCCATTATTACTACTGTCTTAGCCCTTGCAGTCCTTTCTATCTGTACAAGGATCTGAGTCTCTGCCTTTTCACTAACACTGGGGGGGGGATTGTCAACAAGCTCCAAATATTAACTTTGAAGCATGCACACCCATACGCTTCTACACCTATAATGTCTGAGCACCATCACATTTACCACCAACAAGGTCACCTTTCACACTTATTTGCAGGTCACTTTTCACATAGCGACAGACTTTGCCACTAAGGGAACATAGCCAGGAAGATTAATAGCCCAATCATGTGAAACATAATTGTTATTTTGTTTTGGTTTTCAGTAGGTAGGTATCCAATTTATGAATTTATTGCAATAATAGCAACTAATACAGGCTCTGGGTAGTTTTTTTTCTACCTGTGTGGGTGTTTTAATAAAAACATCTGACATACTAGTTCAGCTGGGAAAAATGATAAAGTTGTTAAGAATCACTTAACTCATATTCCACCACTCACAGTAAAATAGATGTTAACATTACTCCTTTAGTACCATTGACATATAGTCACTTAGTGAAGAAAAAGACCTGTACAGCTAGCTTAAGTGATTCTCGTTTAGAATGTTTGCTAATGGGAGAAGTGATATCTGGCTACCTGTGCTGAACGCTGGAAGAGATGTTTATTTGAAGTGTAATGCCATTAAGTAAGTACATTATTTTTTATTCAAAGTTTTTTCGTTATCTGTGTCTTCATTTTTTATCAGACTCTTTTTCAATCTGACTTGATGATGATTAGAAACAAGTGATGCCAATAGTGCTGTTGGCTTTGCCAAAGATGTTGCAATAGACTGAATACGGATGATGATGATGATTAAGGGTTTTTAAAGGATTAAAATATAGTAATGAAGCATATTAAAAGTAATGCTGATTTACAGAGGTTTAATGATAATGATGATAGAAGGAGACAGCAATTTGTCTAACTGGATGGGCTTCGCAGTTGGTATGCAAGCAAACACTGATAGCGTACACTTGTTTCAGCAATGACTTCAAGAGGACCTATAGTCTTTTTAATATACTTTAATTAAGCACGTGAAAACAAACAACTAAGATTTACTTCTTCTGTGAAGAAAAAAACTTGGCAAAAACAGACACAACCAAAGACTTTGACTAACCATAATTTAGATCCACCTAGCACAGCTACCAGAAATCCAATAGGGCAAGCCATAGACTGAGGAAAGGTGTTATCTGTTTGCCCTTGATGGTATTTAAGCCTAGATTTTTTGACAGTTTTACTGAAGACT